TTGGATGAGGGAATTTTGGGGTTGAATGAGGGAATTTTGGGTTGGATGAGGAATTTTGGGATATAATGGGGAATTTTGGGGTTGGATGAGGGAAATATTGGAGTTGGAGGGGGAATTTTGGGGTTGGATGAGGGAATTTCGGGGTTGGATGAGTGAAATATTTGGGTTTGATGGGGAATTTTGGGGTTGGATGAGGGAATTTTGGGGTTGGATGAGGAATTTTGGAGTTGTTATGTGGGATTTTGGGGTTGGATGGATAAATTTTGGGGTTGGAGGGGGGATTTTGGAGTTGGATGAAGGAATTTCGGGGTTGAATGAGGGGATTTTGGGGTTGGATGGGGGAATTTTGGGGTTGAATTTGATTTGGACCCAATAGGAATAGCAAAGGGTGCAGCTGAATGGGATTTAAAATCCCTACAACCCAATCCACCCTGAAATCCCAWGAAAAACCTTGGAATTTTTCTCTTTGAAGAACCAACCGCTGCTTTTCCACATATTTTAAACACACCCCAATTAATTAAATCAACCAAATTTAATCTCCCCTTAATTAAATCCACCAAAATCAATCAAAACTCACRTCCTTTCACTCTTTTTTTCTCCATTTTCCAACTTGGAATATTTTTTTCCAGTCCAGATGTTACTCCTCGGGTGGCAGGAAAGGATTTATCTCAGGTTTTGTGGAAAACATCAAACAGGAATTAGCCAAAAACAAAGAAATGAAGGAAAGCATCAAAAAATTCCGGGATGAAGCGAAAAAACTCGAGGAATCGGACGCGCTCCGGGAAGCCAGGAGGAAATACGTGAGTGTTTTGTGGTTTTATTTTCTTTTTTTTATTTCTCTAATTATAAATTTCAATCCACAGTTGAATTTTGGAGAAGCTCTGCTTGGCTGGAAGCAACTCGTTGCTAAATGGATGCCTTGGAATGTTTATTTGGGTTTTTTTCGGTTTTTTTTGTTGGTTTTTTGGGTTTTTTGTTGGGTTTTTGTTGGGTTTTTTGGGTTTTTTTGTTTTTTTTTTTAAATGGAAAATCATTCCAGCCAACACTTGGCTGCCTTCCTGAGCAAATCAAATAATGAGGCATTAAATTRAACATCAAATGTTGGTTTTGCATTGTTCAGAGAGGTCTAAACATCGTTATTTGCAAAGCTGAGCTGACTGAAGCAATGAACTCCTGAAATGTTTTATTTTTTGCCCTCAGTCGGGAGAAAAACAGGGAGAAAAATGGAGAAAATGGGAAGAAAATAGGGAGAAAATAGGGGAAAAATGGGAGAAAAATTGAGAAAATGGGGAAGAAAATGGAGAAAATGGGAAGAAAATAGGGAGAAAAACGGGGAGAAATTAATGGATTTTTCTCCATCTGAGCTGAGTTTTGTGCATTTTTTTCTCTTGATTAATGTTTTTTTCCCCCCTCAGAAAACCATCGAGTCTGAAACAGTGAAGACCTCAGAAGTGATWAAAAAGAAATTTGAAGAAATCACGGGGACGGTGAAAGAGGTAAAAGTTGAGCTTTTTGGAGG